TTAGAGCACTTATCTCTTCCATAACTAATAGTGTTCAATTTGGATCTTCTAAAGCTTCATGTATATTCCTTGGAACAAACAAATCAGTTATCCTAGATGTGAAAGCTCTATGACTATTTGACAACTCTTGGTATGAGATTTAGTTTGCAATAGGATATTTGGTACAACTTCAAACACTTTTTCTAATTGCTACTGGAACATCAAGATCAGAGACAACATGTGAAATAGTTGAAGTAGGAATAGAAGATGAGTTACCAGTATTTTCAGTTTCATTTCTCGAAGTCTTAGGTTGGATCTGTGAAGCTACTATTTGGTCAAAAAGGATTAGCAATATTTTCTGTTTCATTTCTCGGAGTCTCAGATTGGCTATGTGAAGGATCAACTATTTGGTCTTCTTTTATTCAATTGAATTTTCTTCTAGTATAAAACTTAAACTAAAAAACATGATTAGTAGAATCATCCTTATTTCCCCCCTTTAATGAGAAGTTTCTACACTAGGTATCAAAGGATTGGTAGAATCAGGAGAAATAAGACTAGGAAGAGGAATCAAATATCATAAATATTAAGGATGAATAAACTACCACCCAACCCAAAAGCTTAAGCTGATGGGTTGAGTAAATGTAATTTATTTATATGGATTCTCAACACTCCCTTCACTTGTGGGCTTGGAAAATAAATAAGACCGAACAAGTGGAAATCATAATAAATGAGGAAACAATAATGCAGGGATTTGAATACAGGACCTCCTGCTCTGATACCATATTAAGGATGAATAAATCGCCACTTAACCCAAAAGCTTAAGCTGATGGGTTGGGTAAATTTAATTCATTTATATGGATTCTCAACACTAAAAATTATCTTCCAAATTTGATTCTTCCCATGAAGAAATTTTTAAGTAAAATATGATGGTTTTTCTGAAAAAGACACAACCATACTTACAAAAAGTTTTTTGGTCTGAGGATCAAAACATCTATAACTCTTTTGAGTTGAAGAATGATCCTAGAATGTACATTTAACAGCTCTAAAATGAAGTTTTGATTAAGATTGACTAGTTATGTGAACATACGTGGTACACTAAACAACTTTGAGAAGTAAGTCAGAATATATACGGGACGTTGGAAAAACATATCTAAAGCACTCAATGGGAATTTTGAAATTTGAAACCTTACTAGGCATACTATTTATTGGATAGGCAGTTGGGAAAATGGATTCCCCCATAAATATTTCAGAATGTGCATGGTAAACATTATAGCACGTGTCACCTCAAGTAAATGCCTATTTTTTCATTCAGCAATCCCATTCTATCGAGGAGTATCCGGACAAGTATATTGATGGAATACCTTTTTCTTTAAAAAAATCGCCAAAATTTTCATTGAAATACTAAGTGCCATTATCAGAGTGTAAAATGCAAATTTTGGTTTAAATTTGAGTTTCAATCACATTGTAAAAGTGTTTAAAAATGTCTTTCACCTCAAATTTTTTAGTCAATAAAAAAACCCAAGATAGATGAGTATGGTCGTAAATAAAGGTAACAAACCATCTTTTTCTACTATGAGTACTAATTTAGAGGGAACCCAAACATCACTACGAATTAAATAAAACAGTTTTGAAGTTTTATAAGGTTTTGGAGAATATGTGTGATACGTGACAACTTGAGCGTATGGACTTCTCTACTATCTAGCCACTTGAATCCAATCGTATAGTTGGTTTAACTCAAAAGGAAAGGTTAGATGGATTACCTTTACAGTCACTACCAAGAATAGACAGATTTCTCACTATATTCAAGGTTGGAAACACTCGATGAGTTTGGTAACCAATCCAACAAGCATGCTTCGATGGGAAAATAAAATATCTTGAGAACGCTCATTTATAGGCCAGTCCCAAGGCCTTTTACAAGAATTTTGTAAAATAAAATAAACCTAAAAATCTAAGGTAAATAAAATAACAAAATAAATGCAAAATATTCTCTCCTAAAAATGCCAACTTGCTAATCAAGCAAACTAATCTATTCCTTAAATCTAATTGGATAAAACTAAAAGAAACTAAGGAAAATCAAAGGAAATATATTCATTAAATGGAATGGAGTGGGCGGCAAGGTGTTTTGACGCCAAAGGGTGTGGGAATGAGCGGGCAAGGGAACGGGGCGTTGATGGGGCTGCTGAGGGGGTGTCTATGTGCAAGCGTGCGTGGTTGGATAGCAGGGATGCATGCGAGCATAGGTAGCATGCCATGTAGGAGTGCGCGGCTGGTGTGCTAGGGTTCGCGGTAGGGACGATGCGGTGATTGCAGCTGTGCATGCGGATAAGTGTGCGGATGGGCGTGCGGCAGCCATTGGGAGAGGCTGCAGGCAGTTG